CCCCCGCCCGGGGGGCGGGGGGGGGGGGGGGGGGGGGGGCGGCTGTGGGGGGAGGGGCTGCAAATCCGCCTGCTGCTCCAGGTCCCCCGGGGGGTCCGCTGCAGGCTAACATCGGACAACACCGCACTCTACCTGCTCCTCTGTTGCACTGAAACGGAGAGGAAATTCCCCGGCCATAAATTTTGTCTCCGCGTGAGTAGGGCTCTGAGACTGCCCGCTTCTTGGGCTGGGCTTCCCAGAACAGGAGAGGGTCTCTGGGGCTTTCAGTGCCTCCTCCTGGGGGTCCCCTGGCAACTTGGGGGCACGCTGTCCCCGATCATGCAGGGGAAGCGGGAGCGAGGCCTGGGAGCGTCCACCTGACACGGCCCGGGTCCCGGGTCCCGTGTCCGCGCTTATCCTTTGACGGTGGCCGGGGCGGGGGGCGGGGGGAGGTGGGGTCTGTTGAAACAGAAGCTGTTGGAAAACAGGGCGCCGTTGCCCAAAGAAGAAAAGTTCAGAATCTATTGGTCTCGTCCAACCCCTTATTTTACAAATTAAAACCGCAAAAAGGAAAACCAAAAACCAGAGGTCCGGATGCTAGAGGGGCGTTTCTCAGGGGCCACACGAGGCCGAGCAGACGCCCACCCCCAGGTCACCGGGTGTCTTGCTGGCCGGAGACTTGACTCGGTCGGACTGACTTGAGCTGTAACAGAGCTACATCTGGTGATGTCCCCGCGCACGGAAAACCCGCGCAGTACAAGTTACTCGTGTTTTGGTGGAATTGTCAGTTTGCATTTGTACACGCTTTTCACTTTTAATTGTATTTGAGGCTGGAGGCGCTCAAGGAGCCGGAAGGGTGCGGAGGCCCGTGGCTGGAGGAAAGCCAAGGCCGCAGCCCGGGCAGGGCACCCCCCCCCCCCGCCCCCCCCCCGCCGAGGGTACTTTCTCATTGACTTTAGCACTCACAGAGCAGGCTCCAAAGCCTAGCGCTTTGACGTCCCAGAATTTATCAGAATCTGGGATGCTGCCTCGTTTTATCAGAGGTGACATCGTCAAGTGGCGCATTAAACTATGTTCATCCAGCAAATATTCACGAAGCTTCGGGTAAGCGCCGGGCGCCGCTCTGGATGCGGGCGGCGGCCGTGAGCTGGGAAATGCGGCGGCTACAGCATCACACAGGGGCTGGGGGGACGTGAGCAACACACACGGGCAAACAACAGCCAGCAGGAAGTGGCGAGGTGAGGACAGAACCGCACGAAGGAACGACCCGGATGGCGGCCAGGTGTCCACTGGGCCGAGCGCTCAGACCAAACCCGCCAGCCGCAGCTGCGCCCCGACGTCTCCCGCTCGCTCGGTCAGCGTGAGGAGTTGGCGACCGAAGGCTGCCGGAGAGCACGGTGCTCGGGGAAAGGAGACGGCCTGTGGCTCAACAATTTGGCCCCAGCCCCCCCACGCCCTTCTCCACGGTGCTCCCTCTGCCAGGCTGCGGCGGGCCGGCTGCAGGAGCCCCAGCCAGAAGACAGAAGCCACCGTCGGGGTTTACCTCTGTGACTCTGCGTGCCAAGGCCACGGCCACCCCACCTCGTTCTTCTAACACGGTAGACGCTTCCATCGGACCAGCTGGTTCTTTGGAGAGATTTTGCAAATTTCATCTTTGATCCACTGAGTAGTGATTTACTAATTGGGGATTCAGAAAGCGCCCCCCCCAGCCCCATGCGCAAACACACATGCACACGTACATGTACACACACGTATGCACACATACTCACACATGAACACACACGTGTGTACTCACACATGCACGCGCGTGCTCGCACGCATACACGCACACGTACTCACACCTGCGCACACCCATACACACGCACTCACACCTGCACACGCACCGTGCACACGCATTCACACATGCACACACTCACGTGTACTCACACATGCTCGCGTGTGCACGCTCGCACACGTACAAGCACACGTACCCACACCTGCACACACCCATACACATACTCACACATGCACACGTGCACGCACGCACACACTAAACACTTCTCCTGAGAAAGGCTGCAGACCTTCATTATCCAATACAAACGCTCTCACCAGAGAAGACCTTATCCCCTGTAGAGATTTCATGACACCCTATGGGGTCGCTCTGCTCTCTGGGTCGAATCCTTTTTCCCGGGCAAGAGAGGGTCTGTCTGGGGTCCTGACCCAGGGCACTGAGAGCGGCTTGGGGGTCAGGCCACCTGGAAGGGAGAGGCTTCCCTTCCCCAAGGGGGCAGCAAGCTGATAACAGAACAGCAAGGGTGCAACGTTTTCTCCCCATCTGTGGACAGGGCTAAGGACAGGGGAGGCCTCGGGGATCCCCCCCCAGTCTCCCAGAAGAGGAAATGGAGGCACAGGACAAGTGGAGCATCTCGGAGCAGCCACCAGGCCGCTCTGTGGGAGGGGGCAGGAGAGGCGGGAAGAATGACCCCGGCATGGACGAGGCCTGGCACTCAGGATGTCCAGTTGGGCTGACTGCGCATGGCCTCGTCGGAAGGGGTGTGCAGGGGAGGGGAGGCAGGAGTCCGTGCCTAACTCGACACCTTCCAGAAGCTCGCCTGGTGCCATGTCACCCGAAGTCCGTGCCATCCAGTCCTCTTTGGAACACTGGTTTCTGAACTTTAGGAAATATCCACACAGCCCTTCCCTCCAAGGAAATATTACCAGAAACCCAGTTCGTGAAGCATAAATGGACTTTTCTGGTGGAGGCTGGGGGCTGCAGCCCCTCTCAGCATAAAACCCGATGGCAGCGTCTCGGGGCCCTGAGGGTTCCGTGGTGGCTCTGGGCTTGTAGGGGGGCAAAGAAACGAGGCATCGAGGCACCGCTAGAGGTCGAATTCCAGGCCCCCCCCCCATTTACATATCAGGCTTATGAAAAGATTTCTTGGCGGGAGGGGGAACTTCCCTTTAAAAAAACCATCCCCCAGTATACTTGAAATTCTTTAAAATAGTGTTTATTACTGATTCTGTGGCTGTAAAAGAGTAAGAGAATACCGTGTGCTCTCGTAAGCAAGTCACCATGGCTTGTCCCAACAGAGGCCATCAAAGCTGGGGTGTGGGTAGTTCGTTCCCCTGGAGAATCACAAGGCGGGTCAGGCGGGTGATCAGAAAGCGGAGAGGCAAACCATCCCGCAAGGGCCATGACCTCTCGCCTTCTCAAGCGCTTTTGCTGCAACACCCAGAGCCCGTGGGGGATGCGCGGACAACGCAGGAGTTGCCGACGGGGCGGCCGAAAGACGCAGCTAAAGACAGTGTTCGCGGCGGCCACACCGTTTCCCGAGCAGTCCTGTGATTGCGCAGATGCCTCGCCGCCCTCCCAGACCCGTGCTGTGGAGGGAAGACCCACCCTTGTGGCCCTGCCTTAGCGGGGACACAGCGCGAGAGACGCCATTTGGATAGTGACCTTGCTCCCGGCTCCAGCTTATCTGCCTACCCCGCTGGCTTTTCATCTGATTTTCCTAACCGACTGGTGTCTTCTCTCGGACGCATTTCCAAACCGTGTGCAAGAGGGCGGCCCGGCCCACGGCGGGAGAACACGGTCCACACGAGACCACCCTCGCCTCTGACGCCCGCTGCCCGTTCCACGGGGTTCCCGGAACCACCTCAGGTTCAGTAATTTGCTAGAAGGACTCACGGGACACGCTGAAAGCCTTTATGTTTGCCATTGTGCCTTATGACAGGGAAAGGCTGCCCGTGAGAGGCAGCCTTCAGCAGAAGGGCACGGGCCCGGGGAAAGTACCAAACGCGTCCTGTCCCCGGTTACGCTCCGCACCCACATGACAACAATGAGCTTGATGACCTCAGCCCACGCGGCTGCCCGTTAGCGTCCCGCCCTTCCGAAGGCCCGGCTCGTACCTTCCGCATCCAGTCCCTCTGGTGGTAGAAACGATGCCGCATGTCCCCAAACCCTCATCATAAGCCACGTTGTTAGACTGGCGGCCGAGGTCCCCGTGCAAACAGAGACACTCCTATGGGACACGACACCCCTAAGGACCAACCCAGCAGCCCCTGGCAAAGGCCAGACCTCTCCTTGGGTAAAGTTAATTCTGCACGACACAACGTTAAGTTCACTTGCAGACAAGGTGACGAGGAGGAAAGAAGAAACGCGCCAACCTTCCAAAGTGCGTCCGTCCAGGCGCAACCGGACCCCTGACCGCTGCCCGTCGCTGGAGGTAACACCCCCAGGGAGAAGCGAAGGGACACTGTGTGCCCACAGCCTCTGAGCCCCTCTGTGAGCTGGCTGTGCCGCTCGCGTGGCAGCAGGGGGCAGGGGGGTGCCCGGCCCTGAGCGGGAGAAGAGGGACATCTCCCAGCATCCTCTGGGAGGAGGAACAGCACAGAGATGCCGGTGGACTCCGGGGTGGACAGGCCTCACCCCCCTCTGCTCTGTGACCAGGTGAGGGATTCCCAGGCCGAGTAGGTGATGTGGACCCAGTGCGGTACCAGGGGAGGCCTGGCGGCTTTGCAGAAGTGTCTGGAAAGGACGTCGAGTCAAGCTCAGAGCTGGCGCCCAAGTCCCGGGGCCTCCGAGCCGGTCTCGCCAGGGTCCAGGTAGAGGTTCCTCTCCTGCAGACAAGACAGGCCGCGGGGTGTGCTGCGTACCGAAAGCCTGTGTCCCCCCAAATTCGTATGCCGAAGCCCCACCCCCCCCAAGAGATGGTCTTTGGAGTTGCAGCCTATGGGAGGTCATGAGGCGGGGACTCATGGCGACATTAGCACCCTGAGAAGAAGAGATAGCAGAGGGTCTCCTCCCCCCACCCCTCCCCCACCCCCCAAGCCTAAAGAAAGGAACCCAGCATGAGCCTGACCTTCCTACCATCTGGACAGCCCACTTCCAGCCTCCAGGACAGTGAGGACATATTTTCATTGTTGAAGCTCCCCCGCCCCACAGCCCAGACACTTCGTGATGGCAGCCGAGCGTCTGTCAGAGGGAGAGGCGGGGAGAGCCCCACAGAGGCACGCACGGGAGAAGGAGCAGAGAGAGGCGGGCGCGGGGCCCTGTGTGCAGGTGGGCTCCAGACCCTCAGGAAGCCTGGCCCCTCTCCACTCTTCCCCGTGTGCAGGTGCCCTCTCTGTGGAGCCCGCCACGTCTCCTTCTCCCCTGTTGCTGGAGTGGACCTCTCTGCGGACCGGCCTCTGCCACTCACCCTGCACCCTGACCTCCTGCTGGGGGCTCTGCTTCTGGGCCACACCACCCTCAAGGGTGGCCCGGCACCCGGAAAGCCCAGAGTCTCTCTCCTGGGCTCCCGGGAGGTAGAGCTCCGGGTGGGGGCCCTGGTTCTGCAAGGTGCTGGCATCTCTGTGGAAGGAGCCTCAGGGCCGACTTCTGGGGGTGCAGCTTCGCCTGGCATCTCGGGGTCAGCGGGCTCCCCTCACGGAGCTCGGGAGAGGGGACAGCGCTCAGCACAGGAGGCGGGAACGGCTCTGGGGAGACGTGGGCCCAGGCTCAGGGAGGGCCTCCAGAACCCTGAGTCCCCAGAGGCCGGGGTCCAAGCCAGAGCGCATCCCAGGTCACAGCCCCACGCCCCACAGGAGACACTGTCATTGTGTCCCAGGACCCACCTCCCAGCCACGACCCACACCCCAGAGCCTCTCTGGAGTCCCGAGCCAAAGCCAGAGGGCCGTAGGGGTCAGCTGGTCCCCAGAGGGAAAGGGTCTGGCCCAGACTGGTTCAGGGCACTTCCTTCCCCTGGCTCTAGACGGGGGCCCTGTGGTCGCCCGGCATCAGGGGCAGCCAGAGGGACAGCTGCTGACCTCTAGAGACCAGATCCCTGAGCAGCATCCCAGTCCCACCCCCGACCCCCCTGAGCTGGTGACTCACCTTGGACTTGAACCTTGACCAGCTCTGAGGTTTGTCTGCCCAGGTATGGGACGTAGGCCACCTTCCCAGAGCAGCTGTACTGGCCGCTGCTTTCCAGGGTAGCCATCCCCACGGACAGGGACCATCTGGTCTTCGGGGTTTGGAGTAATCTTCCGTCTTTGTAGAACTTCACCTGGGACAGGACCTTGTTGGCCGATGCATGACATCGCAGAGTCAGGGCGTCTCCCTCGAACACGGGGTCTGGCCAGGCTTGGAGGTGCAGCCAGGCTGTGAGACACGGGAACGGGGTGGCCCCGGAGCCACACACTGCGTGGCCGTTTTCTCCCTCTGTCCCCACCCCCCCCCCCAAGCCCGCCTCAGGCCTCCCCCTGGGGACACAGGCTGCTGGATGGCACCTGCTGAGCCGCCCCGCCCCCCCAGGCCTTCCTGCCAGACCTGGGCGGGGCCTCTGCTTTCCTCTCCTCTCCCCCTCCTCCCCTCCTTCCTCTCCCCTGCCTCTTCTCCTCACCCTTGAGTTCACAAACTTATGAGATCATAACCTGAGCCAAAATCAAGAGTCAGACGCTTAACCAACTGAGCCACGCAGCTGCCCCAGTTAAAGCATTTGTTAATGGAGAACTGGCGAAATCAATCACGGTCCAGCCATATAGTGAAATCTACTGTGGCCATGAGAAAACAAGGGGTAGGTCCAGAAATACCTACTGTCTGGAATGAGCTCCATGATAAAGTGTTAATAAAAGAAAATTAAATGCGACGTGTGGAACCACGTGTACAGTGAAACTCCATTTGTGTATTTTAAAATATGCACATACACATTCACACGTATATATATGTCTGCTTATGCATATGGATTTCTTAGACTATAGACAGCAGACTGGGTAAGTCACAGGCTAGGATTGGGAAGAAACAGCTTTCACAACATGCTTCTTTGTTCTTTAATTTTTTTTAATGTTTATTTATATTTGAGAGAGACAGCGCGTGAGCGGGGAAGGGGCAGAGAGAGAGGGAGACACAGAACCCGAAACAGGCTCCAGGCTCCGAACTGTCAGCACAGAGCCCGACGCGGGGCTCCAACTCACGAACTGCAAGATCATGACCTGAGCCGAAGTCGGACGCTCAACCGACTGAGCCACCCAGGTGCCCCTTCTTTGTTCCTAAAAAAAAATTTTTCTGGGGTGCCCGGGCGGCTCCGTCGGTTGAGCGTCCGACTTCGGCTCAGGTCATGATCTCACGGTTTGTGGGTTCGAGCCCCGCGTCGGGCTCTGTGGTGACAGCTTGGAGCCCGGAGCCTGCTTCCGATTCTGTGTCTCCCTCTTTCCCTGCGTCTCCCCTACTTGTGCACTATCTCACTCTGTCTCTCAAAAATAAATAAATGTATGGGGCGCCTGGGTGGCGC